TCAAATACTGTTAAAAGCATAATAGAAATGCGGTAGTAAGAGAACGGATGGAAAAGTGTACGTGACATTTTAAAGAACAGTTTAATTTAGGGAATTGTGCCTATTAAAAAGCACAGCCCTGCCTTTGAGTCTTTCCCTGCTAGCACTTAATGCTTGAACTTGATGTTACGGGTTTTGGAGTGGTTCAGTTGTTACAAGAAAGAGTTCTGTAGTTGTTTTAATTGCTACTTCAAAAATGACCATGTTTTCATACTCTGACCCTTACCTATTATGGCCTGAAACTTGGTTGAAAAATGATTAAGGAATGGACAAAGTGAATTATGGTAGTGCAAGTGTGCACTATGTTGCTGCAAACATCAATATTACACTTGCTGTCAGGAGCATAAAAATAGTATTGTCATTGTACCCTGTGCTGTTAAGATTAAGTATGTATTTCAGCTAAGTGCCATCAAAGAGTCTAAAATACTGTTGTGCAGAGAACCAGTGAAGCATGCAGGATGTACAGGTTTCTGTTATTGAAGTGCTTAGAACCTGAAGCAGTGGTTCCCAAGCTGTTGTTTGTGATGACTTGGGATGCCACTATTAGACATGGAAAATTGTTAGGCAGTTTTCTATGTGAGTAAAAAATAAAATCTATGAAGTGAGAAATGTTACTTTCTTAATAAAGTAATTTGTCCAGATTTTAGTAGCTTAAGCTACTTTTGGTAGTGGTTGCTGTATTTGAGGAGTTTCTTTCTTTATTGTGCCCTTACTGTTACATTTTTTTCAGGCCACAGTCAGAACAATTCTTTGTACTCACTGATTTAGTTTTATTCAATTCTGCTTTTGCTTTCAGTGCCCTAATGTCTTTAAATATTTAATATACAAGAAATTTTCTGTCTTCAAGAATAAATGGCCTGAAGGGAGGAAGAATTTCCGAAACGATCCTACTTGAATGTACAAGAAGAAAATGCAGTGTGCAACCAAGCTGTTTATCTGATTACATAGCACTGAAATGCACTGCATTGAGCCTTGCTTCTGCACAGGCTACTGAAGTGATCTATAGTGATCTATCAGTGATTTTTGGAACTGATATGTAGCTTTGAGTCCTGCTCACTTAAAAAAGCAAATAAAACTGCAGCTCAGATCTTCACATTACTGGGAGAGTAGAGGTGATTTAATGGTTGATAGTGGTTTGCTATTCAAAAAATCTACAGCAAAAGACATTTTCTTTTCTTGATTTAAGCACATACTGCTTCATGTTTGATGCATCTTTTCCTCTGAGCTGCTTGGGGGAGCACTGGTTTGTGCTTTGGCCTGGGAGGGACACATGGGAGAAGCTCTTAGACATGCTGTGGTAAAAGCCATGGCAAAGCTACAGGTTCTGCAAATTGCTGAAAATGTGTGGATATTGCTGTTAATTTTTAATACACACTTGTGTGAGTTCTTCTTTCTTTTCTTTTTTTACGCAGGTCAACTTTGTAGTGTGCCAACTGTTTGCCTTGCTTGCGGCTGTTTGGTTTCGAACATACCTTCATTCAAGCAAAACTAGCCCATTTATAAGACATGTTGTTGCAACACTCTTGGGCCTTTATCTTGCACTTTTTTGTTTTGGATGGTAAGTTACACTTAAATTCATTTTTCAGGAACTTGTCAATTTTTATTTCTGTGTTACAAAGAACCATATTGCCTAATTCTGTGGGGTTTTTAGCTGCTGCAAATGTACTGAAATCAGCTTAAATATTCTGATGAGGCCCACAAATTTTGAAAGGTCATCTGTAAACTGGTAACTACCATACTGGCTACCTGTGGTTTTGGAAAGATGAAGCAGGTGCAGTTTGTTTAACTTCTACAGCTTTTTTTTCTGTGAACTTGCTGGAGAGGTATTCTCTTGAGGCACAGCACGGATGTGGTGACTAGGATAATTCCCTAGAAATACTCATGACATGAGATAACTCAGGGTCTTTTTCTAAATATTGACTATAATGTGACATTTTAAGGAAGAGTTGCTGGAACTGTAAAGTATATCTAGTGACACTCCTAGTAGTATAAAATGCCCTGTTTCGTGGTTTCTTTTTTTTCTTTAATGATTTGGAGGGAGGGAAGATGTGATTGTTTTTCAGACACATATTTTGTGTGACTGCTGTTTGCGTATCTTGATCTTTCACAGTGTAGCAAGACAGAATGTTAGTAAAGTTAGAAAAGGGTATTCATTTAGCTTGGTGAATTTTTTTCCTTCAAAAAATAGCTTACTAAATGGCTCACATCTTCCCAAGATGGTTTGAGTGCCAGTTTCATTTTATTGCATTGTAAACAAGGTGCTTACTTGGCTTCAATTGTATAAAAGACTCTTATTTATGCTGACTATTATAGAGCATTAGTGAGCTAGGGGGGATTAATCAAGCTGTTGTGCAGGTGGGAAACTGCACACAGGGTGTGCCTGCATCTGTCTCTGCACATGCAGAATGTGTTGGCCTCTATGTTGCATGTTGCAGAACTCTCACAACATTAATTGATATATCTTGTTTTTAAATTTTGGGAAAGGAAATCAGTAACCTTTATTCTTTAGATTTACATGCATGACTGACTTATATAAAACTCTACTATGCCAGTCTGTTTCTTAAACAGGTGGCCATGGTATTCTGCTTTGGGGAATGATCTGATCTCAAAGACTTCCAGTCTTAACACTACAGAAAATGAGGAGGATATGGGAGATAGGAGGTACTATGTGAGGATTTTTTTGAGAAGCACATGGTTTCCATTGCTTTAGAAGCAGAAATCATTAATTGTAACTTGTAATTAGAAGGGTTACTAATATATTCACATATGAATTTTGGATATGGGAGATTTTGGAAAGAAACAGCCTCTACTCCCAACAGACATAAATAAAAATTTGTGGAAGCTTCTCACCAGCAATATGCCCTGGAAAAAAAAAAGATGTTTTCTTTTTAAGAGGTTAATTTCTATTTTACAGTTACTGAGCTAAATACTATTTAAAAATTATGAAAATAACATAATTTGAGTTGTTGAAAGTACACATTCTTTAAAGATTGGTACTTCTGCCAATGCTTTTTCCTTTTGGTTAAGTACATGTTACACAAGCAGGTTTTTCGAGGGTTTGGTTTTTTTGGTTCCCCCTTTCCAAGAAATCAAGGATGCATACAGGTTACAAGCCCCTGATAACATCTTCAGTGACTCTTGGTTTGTGCTGCTATAACATGATGAACATTTATGAACGTATATAACAAGAAGGAAACTGTTACTGTTTTGTTATATAGTGTTACTAGTAAATGTAGTAACTTGTAGATCATGCAAATTTAAATGTGGGAAGTAGTTTGTAATCTGCACTCTTTTAAGGACATTAAGTAGTAGTTATGTTATCTTCAAGTGTGTTAGTTTTCAGTCACTTGTAATACTTGTGAGGGTGGTAGAGGAAAGGAAGAGAAGCAATAATTCCCTTTGCATAACAGCAAATAGCATAAAAGGCCCTGAATATGTACCCTTTGTATGTAGTTAAAAATCACTATTCTCTGTGGTATCTCAATACATCCCTTTGAATGTTTGAATCAAAGAACATATTGCTATTGTTAGCAGCTCTGAAAGAGAAATGTTTTCAGTGACTGTAATCCTGGTATGGTACTCCATGTCAGTCCATACTCTTTTAGGCTTTGATATCTTAGTCTCCTTTCTCTGTAAAAGAACAAGCCTCTTAAGTTTTTGTCATTTCACTAATGTCTGTCTTTGCTATACAATATTGCTAATGCTTGGCAGATAAAAAAAGGAAGTAAATACTTTTTAAATTGACAATTACTGTATTAAACTTGAATTTTAGGTAGTCCTATCCTAAATGAGACTAACTAGAAGTGAAGCATGGGAGAGCATGTACAGACTGGCTCTTCTGTAAAAAGTCAAGATTTTTCAAGATTAATTCATGTCCAAGTGAATAACCTTGAATCCAAGTTTTGGCTCGGTTCCTGCTGTATAGGATGAAGGATTTTAGTTGGATAGAACTGGTTTTCTTGTTTGAAGTCACTTCCTTGTTAGTAGAGGAGGAGTGAAATTAAGAAATTGTTGGTGATAAGCTGAAAGAAAATAGCGTCACTGTAGCAAAATGATTGCTGCTTTTTAGGCTGCTTTTCATGGGGGAAAAAAAAAATCCCAAATTAGATGAGTTGTGTCACTTGAGCCTATGTACATCTGGTACTGGGGCACTTGAGGTACCAGAATGAAAAAAACCCCAAGTTACTGAAGATCAGCTCTTTTCCCATTCACTGGCACTGCTTTGATGGCAGTGCTCTTCAGCTTACTGAAGTATAACTCCTTCAAAGGCCAAGGCAAACTCCCAAAGCTGAGCTGTTGGATAGCTGTGGTGGTAAGCTGTGGAAAACAAAAGGAGGAGCTTAGAGCATCTTTGTGAAATAAATCTGTGGCTTGTTGGTGTGTAGGGCTTTTTTTGTGTGTGTTTTTTGTGACCATCACCACCATCCCTTTAAAAGTTACTGACAGCCTGGGACAAAGAGACTGGCTGGACACAGTCACCATTTCTGTTGAGTGGGAAATCTTACAATATTGTGGATACTAAGAAATTGTTGGCCTTATCTGGAATATCTATTGCTGTAAATGGGTAGAAAGATGAATATGGAAATAAAACCACAAAACTTTCATGTTGTTTACAGTTATTTACTCATGAAGTAATGCCAAATGGAAGACATAAGACATATTCTTTGTGTTTTAATAATTATCAGCATTTGCAATATTCTTGGTTGAGCTGGAGCATTGTAGCTGGGTGTCTAGGTTTTGTTCAGTACTGCTCTCCATGTAAACGGAGAAGTTCTCAGCAGAAGGAAGGGTAACAGAAAACCTAAATAGAATAAAAGGGGATTTTTCTTTGGGAGCAGTGGTAGCTTTAAACTTTGAACCTCTTTAATCTCACAATAAATGTGTGCAGTTGATTGTCATTAAAGAAAATGCTATGAGGGTTTACTTTTTTTTCCCCCAGGTATGCCTTACATTTTGTTATACAAAGTGGAATTTCCTACTATATCATGATCATAATAGGAGTGGAAAATATGCACAAGTAAGTTTCCTTTCTAAAATTTATTTTACTTTGCCTTTACAAGAATGCTACTGTTGAGAGGTTTTTTTGTAATCATGCATATATACCATAATTCTAGTTGTATCATAACATTTCAGTATTTGAATTCTCTAACCATGGTTTTATTTTCAGGTGAGAAGATGACTTATTTGGGAATTTTTGCCAGCCTTTTGAAATATCTAAAGCTCATTAAAATAATACTCCACTGAGACATATTTTGTGTTTCCATATTCTTATTTTTTCATCATTGTTTAATCTTAAGTATTTCTTGGTGTTGACAGATGAGAAATGTAATTTGAAAGCAGACAATGCTAGTAGATGGAAGATGTCTGAACAGAAAACAATTTGTTTGAGAAATTTCCTTAGCAACTATAATATATATATATAATTCCTTTTTTTTTTTTAATATCAGTATGAATGCTGTCTTAGGTTAAGAATACATTTATAAAACACATACAGAATTATTTGAAGTTTGAATGCCTGATTATATCTTGTTTGAGTATCTGAATCCATATAGAAAAACACTTGGTTCTCTTTTTCAGTCACTCTTAAAAGCAGGGAAGACATTTATTACTGTATGCATATGTTTTACTATTCCAGTAGCCTAGAGATCAGAAACAAATTAAGTTCCCACTGTGTTAATTCCTGCATAAATGTTTAGTAAAATAGCAAATCCTTGCTTGAATAGGTTCCTGAAGTATGTGAGCCTGTGAGAAAAATGCTGGTAGAAAAAACAAAGAGGAAAATTGCTTTACACAGAAAGCACAAAGCCAGGGCAGCCTTAGTTCACGATCCTATCTGTTAGAATACTCTGCTGAATTGTAGTGTGATAGTGAGTGTAGTTTTATTGTCTTTTAAAATATCCCATATTAGGCTCTTATGTTCAGGATTTTCTTCAAGGCCTCATGTATTCAAAGTACTGTGGATGTGAGAGAATCTCATTTGGTTGGATAGCTGGTTTATAGACAAACAGCTTCTTTGATTACTGGTTGTTGTAAAGTAACTTGTTCATGTAAATTTCTCTTTAGACATTCAACAATGTAAGCTAAAACTTATGTTACTTAATATTCTAAAAGAAATGATTAATGTGGTTAAATGCAGCAAAGGGAGGTGCCAGTCAGGAGCACTTTGGCCTTTACCATAACAAGGTATGTAGGTTTCTCAAAAATGGAAATCCAGCAGTGGTTTACATTCCTAATAGCGTGAGACAGGTAGGCAGATTTCCTGCTCTGTGGCAAGGGAACAGTAATTCCTGATCCTCCTAATTCATCCCAGCTGCTTTCACTGCATGGCCTGATCTGCTGAGATGTTGGCTGTGTTATACACAGCTGTTACTGTGCAGCTGGGAGGGGAACCTAGATTTGATTACAGAGCTTATATTGCTTTGTCACCATATGAATTAGTCTGCCATTGGATAAAACTAAAAAGCTCTTCTTTCAGCGGAAGAAAAAAAAAATGTAAGAGTCATTTGTTACTTTAAACTGTGGACAATGTGTGGATGCTGTATGGCAAGCTGCAGGAGCCACTTCTAGTGAAACAGGCAAGACTACACAAGGTTTGCTCCTTCCACTGCTGGAGTATCCCAGAAGTGATGATGCCTAAGGAATGCACCAGGTACACTTAATTTTCTGTCAGGAAAATGCCACTTACAGCTTTCTGTTTGGCAGTCTGAATAGAAACCAATGTGAATGACTCCCCTCCCCACCTAAGTGTTTGTCTTCAGGCTATGAATGTGTCTCATGGTGCCCAGGGGAGACTGAAGGTTAAGTACTGTACAGCAGAGTGCAGCTGGTACCAGCTGGCCTCAGGACTGAAGAATGTCAGTGTTTTATGGGGATGTGTGTACAAGTAATTATAGTGCTTGTATATACCTGCCTAGCCCCAGGTTTGGTATTTACTTTTTACGTGGTAGAGGGACCCGTTGGCTGGCAGTCCTATCTAGATGTTACCTGCATTGTTCAATGAGCATCTTAACCTTGGAGTTGAACATCAAATACCTATATGTGATGTAAATATAGATTCAAGTGGACTTTGTATTGGAAAAGCAGTTGTGTATTGTAGAAATTATATTTGTCTATTATCTAAATTGATTCACTGACCTAAGTTTCCTTCTTTTCCCTGCCCTGCTGGCTGTCCTGCAGATTTCATGAGTGTATGGATAGGAAAAACATTATTCCTCTCCTTGCTGTTTTCCTTACCTTCTAACATAGCTCCTCAGGGTCTCCAGCCTCTCTAAAAATTGCTTAAACAAGTAAGAAACAACTAAATTTTTAAAAATGCTATCACTTCAGTTGCTGTGCACTGCTTAAACAGGTTTCCTTACCCTCTGAAGCCAGGAGAGGTTTTTGATAAATTTTTACATTCACCAAAGCACTTTAACCTTTCATGGTAGCTGTTATGTCCTATTCTGTTTGTTTTGATGGGCATACAGTTCTTTGTACTGTTCCTGTGCCCATGTATGTGAGCTGTTTGAACATGATAATGTAAAAAGATATTTGAATTAGAGTAAACAAACTTTGGTTGTAACTGGTCTGGTATCTGTGGAGGTACTTCCTGGTCATACCTTTCTTGGAATTTTGGAATGTTAGTCTTCAGTAAGTTCCCTTACACTCAAAGCTAGAGCCAGGACTGAGAGGGAGGCTCCCCTTTGCCTTCACTCCTTACTGTGGAGTTGATAAACAATAGATGTAGCAAAGGAGGTGTGGTGAAGATTTGATAGTTTTATCTTAAAAATCTCAGATTGGAGCCAAATAAGTCTTGATCATCCGAGTAAATTCCCTTGGCATGCTAATTGTGGCACCTAATTTGTTAGTCAGGTGTTCAATGATGCTGAATGTCTTGATTTTTCTGATGCTTACCTAGAAATCAGGCTTGTACTCTAAAGTTTGTGGATGGAAACACTGACTAGCACCAGGCAGTGATTTTCTGTATATTGGAGATTTGATGATAACAAAAATAACCATATAAATGGATTGTAAATTGTCTATCTTCAATTACTTGGAAAAATAAGCACTTGTTGATGTTAAGAGCTGTGAAGGAATTTCTTAGTAATCCTTGTGAATTTCTTCTAAAAGTATTTGCTCTAAGTAGCTATTGCAAGTTCATCCACTCTGGTAACTTCCTGTAACACTCCAGGCTGAGCCTGTATAGAACTCAATGCATGGCTTCAAACAATCATGTATAAGTTGAAAAATAAGTTGATATATCCTTCCTAAAATTGGAATGTTTAAATGGAAAGGCCTTTAATGAGCATGTATTTTGTAATGACAGGAAAGGAGTGAAAAGAGAACTACAATTTGCTTACTTGTAGTGCCTATCACTTTTTGCTGTACTTTAAAATAAAGATTAAATACACTTATTTAATCTTGGGGGAGGTGTGTTTGTGTCCCTATAGAGGTATAGGGAGAAAGGATAGGAATCATCCAGTATCTGCAGATTTGTAAATGTTGGTACTTAAGTAGAGAGGCTGAAAAAGATAATGCATGGGCATATTTAGTATTATAGCCTTCTCAGTTGGTTTGGTACAAAAAAGATATATGCTGCCTTAATGCCACTAGGAAAAAATCTGATTATATTCTTGTATTTCCAGAGAGGAGTGAAAATCAGTCTTTTTCTTAAATCCCCACCTCCTTTTTAAAATTTTATTTCATTTTATGCTTGATTGCTGATGTTACTCAAAAGAACAGAGTTCTCAAAAGAACAGGGTTTTTAAATAGTGCTATTGACACATAAAACCTCTTATCCCTCTTGCAAACTCAGGTTAAAAAAAAAACTTGTACTTCGGTTGTAGGAAGTAGCTATGCTTCATTGAGTATTGATGTTTACCTGAAGGAGGGCTCCCTTACACTGTGTGCTTCTGTAAGCATGTGGAGGACAGCCCTGTCTTGGAAGGAAGCTGTGGTGTAAAATTGCCTGGGTGTGTTAGAAATCTGTTGGGATGGAGCAGCTTTTTGGCTTGCATATAGATTTTTTTTTTTTAATCTTTGTGCTCAAAGTGAAGCTGAACACAATCAGTCAATCAAAGCAGAGTTGATAAAGTTGTGTTTTGGGGCTCTGTATTTGTTTGGTAATCTCTGTGGCATCTATACAGAGTTCTTCAAGGCACATTACTCTGCCTGTCATGCTGCCAAGCAACTTGACTGTTAGCAAATGAGCTCTGAGTCATGGTATCATTGCTGCATGGTTTATTACTTCAACAAACTATTGATGTCAAATAAATCAGGCTCTCTACAAAATGAAGTGGCAGAATAAATTGTACCTAGAAGAATTCAGTGAAAGCTATGTTCTTCTTCAGCTCCTGGCAAAGACAGCCACTAATAAGAGATGATTAAAAATTCTGGTTGCATGGCATTGACTGAATGGAGACAGTGGTGTTTGGGATAAAGAGATTATGTGCAAGGGTACCATATATTAGAGTTAATTTTCTTCTCTAGGAGCATAATTATCCATGGCTATTTATTCTTTGGTGAAATTTCTTGCATTTGAGACAAATTTCACTTGACTAATTACAACAAGCTCAGCAAACAATAATTTTCATTGTTCTTAATGAAACTGCTGGCTCTAAGTTTGGCAAGTCAGTTTTGCCTGCAGAACTGCAGGTGATGGTGTATGAAGTGTCTGAGTTGGAGCTAGAAGATCATGACCTTTGATACCAATGCACTGCAAACCATAAAAATTCTGTTTCTGTTTTTTTTCTTTTCCTTTAAAGGAGGGTGGATGTAAATAGAAAGCATTGATATTTAAGAAATACAAACATCTTAATTTTAAAATCCAGTGCCTCAATTAAAGATATTAAGTTTCATCTAGCTTTTAAAGCTGATCAGTTTTGCGGATCAAATGTCTTTACTGGAAGTTAAAGATAGGATCACAGAATCATAGAATAGCTGTGGAGGGAAGTGTTTCTGACTCCTGCCCTGACTGCTCAAAGCAGGATCAGCTAGAGCAGGTTGCTCTGTGAAATCCAAGTCTTCCTTAGTACTGAC